TGCCAAATACTTCCTTGTGTTTCATATGCTTCCGCGGATGCTTCACTGAACTTTTCTTTGAGTGTATCATTAAATGTTTTCTCTATGTCTGCCTGTACTGTTGGATCTTTAAGTTTTTCGAGGCTAGGTTTTATCTTCTCTCTGTATTTGACTTTTTTAGTTTAATTGAAATTTTACCAACAACAGAATTGTGGTCGGAACCGATGTCCGCCCCTGGATATGTTTTAACTCCCCTGATTTCATTTCTATAACGTTTGTCAATTAATATATAATCAATTTGGTTTCTTATTATGCGGTTTTAATTATCGCCAGGTGCTTTCCATGTATATAATCTTTTTTTTTGGTTGTTTAAATAAGATGTTTGCAATCATTAGATTTTCTTCTTGCAAAATTGGACCAGTATTTCTCCTCTATAATTTCTTGGACCCAAACCAAAGTTTTCTGCTACGTCTTCGGTTTACCATTCACCTACTTTGGTATTAAAATCTCCCATAATAATGTTTATAGCATTTTTCTTTTTGATCTTCATTAGCTGTTTGAACTCTTGGTAGAATTCTCGTACTTTTCTTTCTGGTTTTTCTGCTGTAGGAGCATATACTTGCATAAAGTTATTTAGACGAGGAGTGGTATTAATTTGCAGCATAGCTACTCTATCAGATATAGGTATAAAGTTCTTTGAACATTTACTGCTTTTCTGGTCGACTATAAATGCCACTCCGTTATAATGATGAGGATCGTCATTACCAACATAGTATATTACATGGTTATCGATGTTTGTCTGTCCAGATCCAGGCCATCTAACTGCACTGACTCCGAAAATATTGACTCCGATGAACAAAGTAAGTTAAAATATATGAATGGACAACCAGATATAATGGTATATGTGTGAGTGTGCATCAGAGAAAGAATAAAATAATAGAGACTATGTGTTGAGTTATTAGTGAGGAGATTAGATTGACTGCTTATCTAACTTGGTTAAGTGAAATGTAGTATAGTATAGGTGGTAATGGAGTCAACAGACTGAATGTGTCGAATGGATGGGTGAAGATTGATGATGAAGAACAATTCACTGCAGGATAAGTAAGGTGACCCAATAAGTAAGAGCCATGAAGAAATATGTGAATATATGACATAGTGAGTTGGAAAATGACTGAAAGGAGGATGAGAAGTAAAGAAAAAAACTGCGAGGGAATAAGAGGATAATATAGTGAAAGTGGGAGGGATATGATAAAAACTACAAAACTAAGAAAACGGGGGGATTATTGAGGTGTGCTAGTGGGGGGTTGCAAAAAAGAGAAGAAAGAAAATTTAAAGACAATTATTAAAATGATGATTTGGATTAGGGGAATATTTGTTGGTGTATGGGAGTAAGAGGTCGATTTAGGGTAGTTTGGTGGTTGACACAATTGGGGCTAGTCCTCATGTCTCTAGAAATCTTAAGGTCCTCATACAAATCCAACTGTAAAGTATTCCTATCTTGGATTTTGTGAATTATTTTGACACCGTCATCACCGTCAGTGATGAGAAAAAGCTGATGTATTTAAAGTGTTTTGCAGATCTAGTTGAGAGTGACCTATAAGTTTAGTCCTGCCAATGTAGGAGGAATCGCAATCAGAACAAGTCATTCTGTAAACTCCACTACGGTTTATATAGTGTATTGAATCTCTAGTATTTGTCAAGAAATGGGTATCTCCAACTCCAAAAGTAACTAAAACTTTAAAAGATATGTATGTGTTTTGTAAAAAATTAATTATAAGACGTCTGATCTTTAGAATCTGTAAAACTTATTAGATTTTTAAAGTGTTAAGTATGAATTTAGATAAAATAGACACTAGAAAACTGACAACGGGACGAATGGGAATTCCAACTTTATGTATCTTGGACAAACCATACAACCTTGGAATAAAAGGTTACCAGGATGTTTACTGTAGGGAACATCATGATTATAAAGAAAATCAGAATGTTTTTAATATGATCTTTGGGATTGGATATAAATATCTTAAAAGGGAAGGGGAAAAAAGGGAAAGAAGAAATATACAAAAAGTTTTATATTTATAAAAAATTACATTAGTTTCTGATCATACCCAAAAATCTACTACTAGTTCGTCATGTTAATGCTGTCTTCTTGAATTTTTCTTCCTGTCACCTCAGGCATATGTTCTGTGTCGTTTTAGCTGACAAGAACTACGTGTCCAAATCGAGCAAAGTAACATATTGCTCTTTAAGTATGAACATCTTCAACTATTGTAATAGACCTAGGGTCGCATTATAATTTAAATTTAAAGATGTAAAACCATACATTGATATCTCCAAAGTTTTTTAACACCTTGCTGTTCTTTTGCTACTGTTATAATTGCATTAAGTTTATTTAACAATAAAACACTAAAAACTTTGTTTTCAAACTTCCACAAAATTCCACAATTTTGTGGAAGTTTAAAAACTAAGTTTTCAGTGTTTTATTGTTACATAAAATGAATTTCTATGAAGTAACGGTCGAATATATCAATTATTAAGGTTATTTGTTATCAGTGTGGTTGTTAATTTTAGTGTTTAATAAAATCATTCCTCTGTAATTTTCCGGGTCCGATTTTTCTCCGTTTTTGAAGGGATGTATCAGGATGCTTGATCTCCATTCTTGAGAAATTCGGTTTTGTCCTATTATTTTTTTAATTAGTTTTAGTAGTTGTTTGGTCATATCTGGTCCTCCATACTTTAGGAGTTCATTTGGTATTCTGTCCTCTCGTGGTGATTTCCTGTTTTTTAATTTCCTTAGTGCTTCCTTTACCTCTTGCACCTCATTATTTATTTCTTTGTTTGTCGTCACCTCAGGTATGAGTGGTTCATTATCTTTATCTTTAACAAATAAGGATTGAAAGTACTCTGCCTTGTTTCCTTCTGAATGTGTTTAGTTTTTATTAATTCGCTCATCTCTTTTCTTTGTCTTCTAACCACTCGATATATTTTTTTTCTATATTCTGTAGACGTTGCGTTCCATCTGTTTTGAGAATCTTTGCCAGTTTTCCTTTTATATTTGCCTCGCTAAATAATTTGTTCTATTTCTAACTTATTTATAGTGGTTGTATGCCTGTTCTGTTTGTTGTGTTTTGTATTGTAAAAAATCATTCTTCTTTTCTTTACATTTTGTCTTCACTTCCTCTCTAAACCATGGGGTTTTCTTAGTGTTTGTTACTTTCCTCTCTCCAGGTGATTCTGTTGCTGCATTAATTATGTTAATTTTTAGTGCTTCCCAGCTTTCCTCAAAGCTATAGTTGTCTGATATTTTATTCCCAACAATCTTCCCCGATATTCTTTTTCAGTTTAAGTATTCCGTGGATGCCGTATTTGGTCCTTCCGCCCTGTTTTTTAGTGTTGGCGCCGATCTCGTAGGTGTTAAGTATTTCATTATGATTCTTATTTCACATAATACTAGGCTATGTTACATATATCTGCTAAGTTGTGTCATCTTACGTCTATTATTTTTGATGAATATGTATCTTTGTTAGTTATAACGTAATCTGTCATAAATATTTGTACACGGGTGCTATTAATGATATTTGTTATTTGTGTTGGTCTTTGTATTTAAAAAATGTGTCGTTTATTTAACACATCGTTCGGTATTTGTGCAGAAGTTTATCAGCATTTCTCCATTTTTGTTGTTAACATTCTTGTTATGTTTTTACTTAATTCCAGGTAGTACTTGAATGCTTATCCGAGCGTTAAAATCACCCGATTGGAGCCCGATGTGGTGATTCCTGATTTAAACACGAGTTAATACACTTCGCTCCTATGAATGGTTACACCCGAACGGTATTATAAGGGCTGAACAAGTCTTACAAAGTGGATTTAATCCAATTGCTTGCTTGCTTGCCTTTCACAGACAAAAGAAGTAGAGGTATACCAGCAACACGTTGAAGGGATGATATAAAAAGGGTAGAAGGACGCTGGGTTATTGGACTTAACAGCAGACTAGAAAATGATGATAATTTATAATTCATGTCATACGCCAAATTGTTTTTAACTGAATACTATCTTACAATATAGTACGTAACAGTGTAAAAGATATATATAAATCTTAACTTTCTTTTTTTGTATATGCAAAATGATTGTTTAATATAAGCGAAAAAAAAATTTTTCGTGTGTAGCTTTTGTTTGGAAAATAAGTAAATTGTTTTGTAAAATTAATTATCCAATTTGACTTAAGGATTGTACAGAATAGCATTTTTCGGTAATAGGTTGGAACTGAAACTATTCCAACCACATACCTATTCCAGAAACCTAATGCAAGTTTATGATTCCGACGTGAAAACACTTCATATCGATCACCGATCACCGCTTGCTTGCTCCTAGTTGTGCTACAACATTTAGGTAGAATTTATTTTCACAGTTGCTGACACAGTATAAATCAATGTCAAGTTTCGTAGTGATTTTTATATATTTCGATAATATGAATAGGCGTACCAGTATTGTATGAAATCTTTTTTCCGTTGCGGATGCAACAAAACAAATTGCAAAATGTAACATTTGTAAAATAATAATGTCCTATAAAACTACAGTTTCTAATCTAAAAAAACATTTATTACGGAAACATCCTAATATAGAAATATTTCCCAAAGAAATCTTTACTAATTTTTACTTTATTTATTACTTGCCGTGAATTAGAAAGCTGTTGCAACCGTATCGACCTGAAATTATTTTGTCTAACTAAGGCGACGATGTTGGAATCCAAACCAAACGAACGCTGCCTATGCGTTCTCTAATCTAATGCCTAAAACCTATTCCGAGAAACCAGTTCAAGTTGCATTGTAAATTTCTTGACTGATCGATGCGCAAAGTATACTCAACTAATGCGGCACCGTTGGAATCGAAATCGATGCCGTCGACGTTTTGTCACTCGTGCGTGGAACAAACGGTTGAAACCTATTTCGAGATACCGCTCTAGTTCCTCATGCCATCCCTAATTCTATTACTATTACATATATTTATAGTTTGCCATTTTCTAGGATTAGATCCGGCTTTACCGTCATTCACAATAGTACCCGATGATCATCTAAATATCTACGATGCAGAATTTGTAGATATCATACATACTTGTGGGGGATTTCTTGGTATTAAGAATGCAATAGGGCATGTCGATTTTTATCCAAATGGAGGTGGTCCCCCTCAACCTGGGTGCTCTAAAGATTGGCAGGTAAATTTTGTAATATTAATAGTATTTGCAATTTAGTATATATATATATATATATATATATATATATATATATATATATATATATATATATATATATATAATATATATATATATATATATATATATATATATATATATATAAACAAAGTTTATTAGGGCTGCAGTCAGAAGTTTGGCCGGGATGTTATAGAAACACTCTTTTGACTTTTCGTCTAGCTTCGGAATTGTTTTATTCCTTTTCCAAGACACTGTAATTAGAAGAATGTGTAAATATTTACAATACATCACAAATTGTCAGTGCGACTTACTAGACGTTGAGATTATTTATATAAAGCTATGGCACTCAACATTATAAACACACATATAAAATATAACATATAAAATAATGGACAAAATACATTTTAAAATTTAGTTAAAAGGATAATAAAACTTCATTTGTGACATCTTTTGATGGTGTGTTTTAACTGATCCATAGAGAACAGAAAGGGAAAAAACAAAAATAGAATGTATGATTAAAATGTAATTAGGTATTCTTCATGTTTTGTTAATGAACGTAATGTATTAAACCTGTCTTGATGGTATACAACATGTTTTGCATGCAGGTGTATTATGGTGTGTATATGTAAAAGTAAGTCTTTATTTCATTTTTGACGTTTTGTTAGTAAGTAACAATAAATGTTGCTCAGTTTATCTGTGTCAGACTTTCTATTTATACAAGACATATTGGATTTTATTAAACGCATTTCCAATACATCTAGATAGATACGTCTATAGTCAGAATCCAGAAATCTAGGCAGTAAATTCTTGGAAGTAATAGTGACGATTCATTGCTATTGTAGGTCTTCCAATGGCGTACGAAAAATATCATAAGAAGTTACGACAAAGCTACTTGTATTAAATAAATATGTACCTATTTATAATTATCTTAATTTTAATATGATTATTGTTAACATTTGGGTTATTATATATATATTAATATAATATACATGGTGTTTGGTAACGAATAGCCGTAACATAATCTTAGATTCCTGAGATTAAAAGAGGCCGATTTAAACTACTTACTTTAGTACGAAAGTTGATATTTATTGAATAATTTTAGTTTAGAAGGTAACAGTTACACCTCCCTAAAACCGCGATAGTCGGTGAACGTCGGCTACTCAGGTATTCAGTTGTTTTGCTATCGAAATAAACAGTGGTGTGATGACGATGAGTAGAATACTATTTTGCTGACGTCACATTGCCCAGCAACCGTCGATTCTATTCGTCGTTGCTACGCAACGTGACGTTAGCAAAATAGTATTTTACTCATCGTGGCCCCACCGCAGGACATGACTCACATATCGATTAGATTATCTAAGCAGTGAACAAGTATTTTACTGTTATGAGTAATATGGAAAGTGAAAGAAGTAAAAGTAAAGGACGTCCAAATTTTTCGATGGGACAAAAAAATTATTATATTCAATGTGTATTGTGGACCCCGTGAAAGGAATAAAAGTATGTCCGTTAACGATGTAGTTACTCTGTGTAGTGATTTGACTAAAGTTTCGACGAGAAGTGTATACAGAATTGTAAACAATTTTAAACAAAGTGAAGGCAAATTGAATGATGGATCTGTTGAAACCATTGAAACCAGAGGTAGAAAACGCATTCAGCTTGAAGATCATACCAAATATGCTATTCGGAGGAAATTCCATGCTTTCTTTTTTCGGAACGAAATCCCAACCTTAAAGAAAGTTGAAATAAATTCCGATAATTCAATACCCAAAATATCACGACGTGTTTTATTGCAAACATTAGAACAAATGAACATGAAATATATAAAAAGAAGCAGGAATAGTGTTTTTTTAGAAAAAGATGAAATTGTTTTGTGGCGGAGAAATTACTTACAAAAAATCCGAGAGTATCGTCGTGAAGGACGAAAAGTATACTATTTAGATGAAACTTTTCTAAATCAAGGCCATACTATCTCAAAGGTGTGGCAAGATTTGGAAATTAAAAGTCGTCGACAAGCCTTCATTGAAGAGCTTTCATTAGGATTAAAAACATCAGTGGGTAAAGGACGGAGGCTCATAATAACAAATATAAGCAGCGATTCGGGTTTTTTAAATCAAATCCAAGAAAACCAACGATTACCATGAGGAAATGGACGCTCAAAGATTCGAAGGTTGGTTTTCAACTATTCTACCAAGCCTTAAAAGCAAATTCTGTCGTTGTTATGGACAATGCGTCATACCACAGTCAATGATTGGAGCCATCACCAACGACTGCCTGGCGGAAAGGTGAAATAATCAACTGGCTTTCTCAAAAAAATATACCATTCGATGACAACATGTTGAAAGTACAATTATTAAACCTCGTGAGGATACATATACCCGTTTTCAAGAAATATGCAGTCGATGAAATAGCTCGTGCAAACAACATAATTGTACATCGCCTCCCTCCTTATCATTGTGAGCTGAACCCTATCGAGCTTATATGGGCTCAAATAAAAAACCAAGCGGCAAGGGAAAACTTGAGTTTTAAAATGGAGGAGGTGAAGTGCTTGTTAGCTACTGCCATACAAAATGTCACACCTGAGTCATGGAAAAATTGTATAAGACACACTATAAAAGAAGAAGATAGAATGTGGGACTTAGACACAAGAGTGGACATTTCGGTTGGACCATTAATTATCAATGTAAATAATAGTGGTCGCGATAGCTCTTCATCAGCCGACGAGTCGTCTTCATACGATGATTAATATTTTAATTTCCTGTGGAGGTCGAACCACTTTTATTAAGATTACTTTCGTATGTAAGTGAGTTTATTTTGTTAACCTAGTTCTCAAACTAAAATACATTTTGTACCAATATACTTTGCTCTTAAAAAAATGAATACTTATATATATTAGGTATATTCGATTCGATTTATTTTATTTAATTATAATATATATGTGTGAGTGTTTATATGTTCACTAAAACTAAAAGTTCACTTCATGTAATCAGCAAGTTCAGAATTGGATTTTTCTAATTATGTAAATTAGTATATTTAAAATATAAGTAATTCCAATGAAAAGAAACCTTTCATTGAAATAACAGCAGGGTAAATCTCTCTATCTGCCTTTTTAATAATTAATTTTTGTAATAAACAAAAAATGTCATTAAAAAAAATTATAGTTTGTCATTAAATGTCATAGAAAGTTTCTTTGTCTCGTATGTTTTGTACAAAATTTTGGAATTTCAAAGTAAGTGTTTTTTTGTGATAATAAGTCACTTCAAAGTTAAATATAAGTCTCATATCATAATATATTAAGATTAATTTTTAAAAGTCACTGCAACAGTGTGAACGATACGCTACTGATTGCTAAGCTAGGATGTCAATGAGCAATTTATCTCTCTCTATATTATGATAACGTTGATCTATTATTCCTTTCGACCGGTCCTAGAATGCGATGTTGTCATGTATGACTTTTACAAAGAATATTATCGTACTTTAAAAGTTTTTTATATATAATTATTGTATATAAATATAATATTATACCTAAATATTGATGTTACCAAATACATTTTATTATATACCTTAACAAATACAAAACGATCATTAATATGATAATTTTGCTGCATGTCAATGATTAAATTATAAATTGCTAAAATATCTATTATTACAAACTGGCAACTGATGCGATGCTTTATCGCATTCACAGTTCCGAGAATTTACTGCCTACAAATTTGATTCTCAAGTATAGATAGATCCTAAATAGAAAAACTTTATTTTGTCAAATACCCAACTACCAAGATTATATGTTTTACCAAGTATTCATAAAACTGGTAGGGTAAACCTACCAATGAGACCCCTAGTTAGTTTTTATCTAAATGTACCAACTCTATTTTAAAATATTTACTATCTTTGCATCCTAGTTATTCTGTTAAAAATTCGACCGACCTAGTAAATAGATTGTCAGTACTAAATTTACATGTACTCTTATATTTAGTTTCTTTTGACGTCAGTAACTTGTTTAGAAACGTTTCCAGAGAAAAAACCATTCCTATAGTGCAAAATTTATTTATTAATTAATTAATAAGTAAATTAACCATTAATTAATTAATAGAATCACCATTTTACATATCTTGAGTCTACTTAAATTTTGTTTATCACTTAGCTGATTTTAGAAAAAAAATTTACACATTATCAAGTTTTAATCTATACTTCGGAAGTATGTATAAGTCATAAAGTCATTTTCCAATTCGTCATATTACCTGAAATCGACGAACATTACTTTTTGTCCAAAAAAAAAACGCTCAAAAACCAAAAATGTCGGCTCATGGGGGATGGTCGGCTCGGACGATTAATATATATATATATATATATATATATATATATATATATATATATATATATATATATATATATATATATATATATATATATATATATATATATATATATAATATATATATATTTATATATATCATATAATAATATATATACATAAATATATATATATATATATATATATATATATATATATATATATATATATACGTCTTCATATCAAGGCGAGATCCGATTAAATCGAGGACAACCCGAGATCCACCAATAGGAAATTAATTAATGGAGTATATTGTTCATAACTATCTTTATAATTAATATAATAATCATGGCACACTTAGAGGGGAAAAAGATTTTTGAACTTAAATTTTTTTGATAAATTTACAACAAAATGAGATCCGTAGCTGAAAAGGGAAGGGGAAGACTTATATACGAAATTTTAGATATTTACAGATCAACGCGAGATCAGACACTGTTGCCAGCTCTAAAGAGTATTAGTCGAGCGACCGGAGCTCGTGTTGTATTGCATATTTCCTACTCAAACAGTAAAGTAATTTGCGGTTATGGTGTTTTGTATTTTAAAAATATTGCAAGGGCAGCGGTCAGTTGAAGTAGTGAAACAAAATTCAAAGATAACAGAAGCTAAGTAATGATTATAATTTTTATGTATATTATTAAATAATTCAACATAA